AGAGATTTATCAGAGTGATTTCGAGGGAAAAAGCAATTGCTGTTCTTCATGTGCTTTCTCTTACTTGTGTGTTGCTTCGAGGGTGAGTTGTGAGTTTTATACAATGTATTCAAACTCTTTTATGTCTAGAACATGCTAGAACTAGGTGCAACTTATATGCATTTGTAAATTTGGTATTTCTAAAAGAATTGTTCTGATTTTTGGGGCACTTTATGTCTTTGTTTGCCAACAAAAGCTTGATTGCATCACTTGGCTTATTACATAACATCAGACCTGACCGCATGACATTCTTCAATTACCTTAGGGGAATAATTAAGCCCAGAAATGGGGCTCAGAACTCGTTTGGCAGACCAAATATCACAGCAGTGAAACTCAAATGTGCTTCGCGGCACACTAAAAAAAATAGAATTTTTTATCTTTAATCAAAAACATAGGTCTTATATATAATCAGTTGTGTCTTGGGACAATAAGAAATTACAAATAACATACATTGCATGAAATCACCAAAATAGAAATACTATGTATTTACTCAATTATTGTTTCAGAGTTCAAATTACAAAGAACCATAATATTGCAACTGTATTGTGTATAAACAATAAAAGTTCATCATCTTGATTATAACACATGTCTAATGCTAGACTTGCCCAAGTCGGACTCTCTTTACGGAACGAGCGGAAAACTGACTTTGCGAAAGTCTAGTCCAATGTGTCACAACACTTTCTTATAGTTTTGTACAAATCGATCAGTGCTACTAGAACGTGTTGAATTGGCATTTCATTTCATATTTTTAATGTTATGTTTGTTATAGTTCACTAGTGGAGAATGCTTTTCTTGAATTAGTAAAGGATTTTTATTGTAATGATAAAACTGTTCTAGAATATTGTAATTGCTTGCATGTACATGTAAGTAATAACACTGACCAAAATCTAAAATTGAATTGGTGACTTTCCACTTTCAATGAATAGTTCTTTTTTCTTGCTATGTTTATTTTTTGTTTGTTTGTTTCAATATTACCTAAAATGACTGTTCTTTAAGTATAAAGTAGCTATTAAACACTTTTTTAACATTTTATATTTATTCCTGCCAGATCTTTTGCTTTAATTCTATACTATCCCAAAAATTTAATGTCGGCAACACTTATGGGTTAATGTCTGCAACAAAGAATTTAGTCTATAGCTTCCACAATTATAGAAATAATAAAGTTTTAATGGCCATTAAATCAGAGTTTTAGTCTCTTGGAAGCTTTTCACAAATTCACAGCAATTCTAGCTTAAAAGCAGTCACTTGAATACATGGTTGTTTTTAGGGTAATGTCTGCAACAGTCACTATTAATAAAATATCTAAGGAGGGAAAGGAGGTATCTGGTGTTTTTCATATACATAGTGTGAGGGCCCCCTTGAGCTTAATTATAGCAAAGTTTGATCCACCTAGCTTGCTACAGTTAGAAGTTGTGAACAGTTTTGTAGCCATATTTT